CGGGCCGACACCTGGCCACGTTTACCCGTGCGCCTGGCTCGAGTCTGTACACACTGACCACTGCGGCCCCTCAGGTAGCTGCGTCTGCGTCTGCGTCAGGTCAGCTGTCGGCCCCCTGCGAGTGTCGTGCTTTGTCGCACCAGACCCTCCTGTGGCACCACCGCCTTGGTCACCCCTCGGTGCAGCGCCTTCGTGGCATGCACTCTCGCTCTCTGGTTTCTGGTCTCCCCAGGACTCTGCCTGCCCTCCCTCCCTCGCCTGCGCCTCCTTGCATTCCCTGCGTCGAGGGGCGGCAGCGCGCCGCTCCTCACTCCTCCTCGTTCCCTCCCACAGAGGCTCCCCTGCAGACTCTCCACCTGGACATGTGGGGCCCAGCCCGCGTCCGTGGACAGGGCCACGAGCGGTACTTCCTGCTGGTCGTCGACGACTTCACGCGTTACACCACGGTCTTCCCCTTGCGCAGCAAGGGTCAGGTCCCTGATGTTTTGATCCCTTGGATCCGCGCTGTTCGTCTCCAGCTCCGCGAGCGGTTCGAGAGGGACTTTCCTGTCCTGCGTCTGCACTCTGACAGAGGTGGTGAGTTCACCTCCGACCTCTTGGCGGCCTACTGTGCGGAGCACGGCGTCCGCCAGACGTTCACGCTTCCGGCCTCTCCGCAGCAGAATGGGGTTGCTGAGCGCCGCATTGGCTTAGTCATGGAGGTCACTCGTACCTCCATGATCCATGCGGCTGCCCCTCATTTTCTGTGGCCGTTTGCGGTCCGGTACGCCGCGCATCAGCTCAACCTCTGGCCCCGTGTCTCCTTGCCGGAGACCTCGCCCACACTGCTGTGGACGGGGAAGGTTGGCGATGCGTCGCGTTTCCGGGTCTGGGGTGCTCGTGCCTTTGTCCGCGATACCACTGCGGACAAGCTCTCCGCCCGCGCTATTCCCTGTGTCTTCCTTGGCTTTGTCCCTGACGCGCCTGGTTGGCAGTTTTACCACCCCACCTCGCGTCGTGTCTTTGCGTCTCAGGACGTCACGTTCGACGAGTCGGTTCCTTTTACCGTCTCTTCCCCTACCGCACTGCCCCTCTCCCTCCCCCGCCGCTCTTCCTCGCTCCAGGTGCTCCCCAGGTCGACCCTCTCCCCGCTCCAGGTCCTGCTCCCTCAGGTGTGTCTCAGGTAGACCCTCCTCCCTTCCCTGCGCCGGTTGAGGTCACTGGTGACTCAGGTCCTGCTGGGGGTGGTCCTGCTCGGGGTGCTACTTCTGGGGGTGCTGAGTCTGGGGGTGCTGGGCCTGGGGGTGCGGAGCCTGGGGGTGCGGAGCTTGAGGGTGTAGAGCCTGGAGGTGCTGAGCCTGCGTGTGAGGGGTCTGGAGGTGCTGGAGCTGGTGGTTCTGGGGCTGCTGAGGGTGCGAGCGCTGGAGGTTCTGGAGCTGCTGGAGGTTCTGGTGCTGGTGGCGCTGGAGCTGCTGAGGGTGCTGGCGCTGAGGGTTCAGAGTCTGCTGTTGCGCGGTCTCCTTGGAGTAGCCGCCTTCGTCCACGTGTGCCTCTCACCTTGCAGCAGCTGCACGACTGGTACGGTCGCCGTCAGGGTCGCGCTGCTGGAGCCCGGGGCTCTACTGCTGGAGGTACTTCTGCTGCCGTCCCTGGAGCTAGGAGTGGTGCTGGTACTGTTTCTACTGGAGGTGCTGGAGTCGCTGGTCCCGGAGGTGCTCGTCCTGGAGGTACTGGAGCTGCTGGGGCTGAGGGTGCTGCGTCTGGAGGTGCTGCTGCTGGAGACACCGAGGCTGGAGACCCTGGGACTGGAGGTGCTGGTTCTGGGGGTGCTGCTGCTGGAGACGTGGAGGCTGGAGACCCTGGGACTGGAGGTACTGGTTCTGGGGGTGCTGCTGCTGGAGGCACTGGGGTTGGAGACCCTGGGCCTGGCGGTGTCGGTTCTGCTGCTGGAGCTGCTGGAGCTGCCGGTCCTGGTGCAGCTGCGCCGCCACGACTGTTCTTCGCTCCGCCGTCTCCGTCGTCTCTGCCGCCGCCTGACTCTGTTCTTCGTCAGGTTCTTACCCTCCCGTCGTCTACTGGTCTTCCGTTACAGCCTGGCTCCCCGCTGCCTGCTCCTTCTCCTTACACTGAGCAGACAGGTAGTCTTGCTGAGCGTCGTGAGCCTGCGTCGCGTCCTGTCTCGCCTGTTCGTCCTAGTCGTACCGGTCGTCGTGTTCCGCGTCCGCGTTCGCCGCCTGTCCCCACCGCACACCTTGTCGTCCGTCGTCCTTCCTCTGTTCCGCAGTCTGTTTCTCTGCCGTCTCCTCCTGCGTCTTCCTTGCCTCACGTTCCGGACCCTGAGTCTGACCGGTTTCGTGCTGAGCACCCTACTGTCACGCGTCTGCTCGCCACTGTTGTCACTGACCCCTCGTTCGAGTCTGCTGCTGCGACTGCTTTGGTTGCTGAGCTTGTTGACTTTGCGGCTGCCTGTCGTCTAGACTACGCTGCTAGTCTTGTCGCTGAGTCTGAGTCTGTCTGTCCTCCGTCCGTCGGGGGTGAGTGTGCTCTTAGCACGGACGTCCTTGAGGACAGGCACGAGGACCTTGAGTGTCTTGCAGCCGCTGCGCCTCATCTCGTGACCATGCTGCTTGCCCCTGAGGGAGACCCGGATGCACTAGACATCCCCACCCCGCGCTCGTACGCTGAGGCGGTCGCGGGTCCCTACTCCTCTCAGTGGCAGGCAGCCATGGACGTAGAGATGGCATCCTGGAAGTCCACAGGCACCTACGTCGACGACGTTCCCCCTCCTGGGGCGAACATCGTCAGTGGCATGTGGATTTTCAGGGTGAAGCGACCGCCTGGTTCTCCGCCTGTCTTCAAGGCACGTTACGTTGCTCGAGGCTTCAGTCAGCGAGAGGGGGTTGACTTCTTCCAGACCTTCTCCCCCACCCGGAAGATGACCACTCTTCGGGTACTGCTGCACGTTGCCGCCCAGCGTGACTACGAGCTTCACTCGCTTGACTTCAGCACAGCTTTCTTGCAGGGCAGCCTGCACGAGGAGATCTGGCTGCGCCGCCCACCTGGCTTCACTGGGTCGTTCCCTCCTGGTACCCAGTGGAGCCTCCGCCGGCCAGTCTACGGTCTCCGTCAGGCGCCTCGTGAGTGGCACGACACACTGAGGACTACACTTGCGGCTCTCGGGTTTGCGCCCTCCACAGCTGACCCGTCACTGTTTCTGCGCACCGACACCTCGCTGCCGCCGTTCTACATCCTCGTGTACGTCAACGACTTGGTCTTTGCCACTGCTGACACTGAGGCTCTCGCCCTGGTGAAGTCGGAGCTGCAGAAGAGACACACGTGCACAGACCTGGGTGAGCTGCGCAGCTACCTTGGCTTGCAGATCACCCGGGACAGAGCACGTCGCACCATCACTCTGACTCAGTCACACATGGTGCAGCAGGTCCTTCAGCGCTTCGGCTTCACCTGGTCCTCGGCACAGTCCACTCCTCTGGCTATAGGTCACTCGCTCTCAGCTCCACCTTCGGACGAGTCCGTAGAGCCGAGTGGTCCTTACCCAGAGCTAGTAGGCTGCCTCATGTACCTGATGACTTGCACTCGTCCTGACCTTGCGTACCCTCTTGGCCTTTTGGCCCGCTACGTGGCTCCTGGTCGGCACCGAAAGGTGCACTGGGATGCTGCGAAGAGGGTACTGCGCTACTTGTGCAGTACATCGGGCATGGGGCTCGTGCTTGGAGGACGGCGAGAGGTGGTCCTCACTGGGCACTCAGACGCGTCTTGGGTTGACGACCAGGCTACACAGCGGTCGTCACAGGGTTACACTTTCAGCCTCGGCTCTGGTTCTGTTTCGTGGCGTTCTACTCGCTCGTCTTCTGTTCTCAGCTCCAGTTGTGAGGCTGAGATCTACGCCACCGCCATGGCTGCTCAGGAGCTGCGCTGGCTCACGTACCTGCTGACCGACCTGGGAGAGCGGCCTCGTTCTCCTCCAATACCGTACGTTGACAACAAGGCAGCCATTGCCTTGTGTGAGGAGCACTGACTGGAGCACAGAACGAAGCACATCGCTCTGCGTTACTTCCTGGCTCGAGAGTTGCAGCAGCGTGGTCAGCTTCGTCTTGCACACGTGGCCACTCGGGCCAACACTGCTGATATATTCACCAAGGCACTTCCGTCTGGTGATCATCAGCGCTTTTGTACCTTGTTGGGCCTTGTGCCTACGTTTCCACACTTGCTGTAGACTCTGTCTGTACTGTGATCTTTATATATATATATATATACCTGCATGCTTGCTCTTGCTAGGTAGTGATCACTGTACTTTGTTTGTTGCATATATACCTCTGCATGTGGACTGGCCTTGTGGCCCTTTGCTTGTGCTCAGTCTGTGTGGTGACGTTGTGATCCACCCTGAGCTTGGTTTGTTTCTCTTGACTGGTCTTGTGACCCCTTGTTCTCCCCCACTTTACCTATGGGGGTGTGTCAAACAATGCATATTGTGTTTGTGTAGGCTGCTAGTGGGGTAGCCCATATGGGGTACAACCCAATATTAGGGTTAGCTTATGTACCCAACTCTTGATCAATGCATTCATTCTTGTCTCTAGATTCTGACACCCCTTGCCCCTTCCCCCCTCTCCCCCATCCCCCCCCCACACCCCTTCCCCCTCTGCATACGTGTCAGGGCAGTCCTCTACCTTCGTCCTGATGCTTCAGGGCAAAATCTCACGGCCTTCCTGAAATTTCAGGGCTCAACACAGAAAATATCCTGATGTGACAGGGTAAAATATACCGTACCATCATCCTGAAATTGCAGGGAAAACACCTGACACTATCCTGAAATCAGGGTAATCAGGATGTTTTGCCCTGATATCGTGGGGCCTGAGCACCCACACGTGCCATACTTGTACTGCACAAATAGATGTGCTCACAGGCAGACTAAATGCATATCAATTTTGTACAAAACATTCATAAGGCTACAATAAACAGTGGACAATAAACATTCATAAGGCTGCCTTTCTCCTCCTGCGTTCTTATAATCTAAGGCTAAACCATGTGAAGATGTCAGTATCAGGTCCATCGGAGGGGCCTGATGTGACTTTTGATAAAGTAATCTCAAGCTTATCCTTGTGCACATTGTGACAACAGAGGTTCGGATCAATCTCCCCGTAAAGACTGCAGGCCAAGCAAATGGGGTGCAGGGGACACAAGCACAAACACAAAGGTGAGTACTCAAATCATTCATAAACAAAAATTGCCAGCACATACAAAACTTTTGGGTTGGAATACAAATGAAGCGATGGAACAGTTCAACACACAGTAAGAAAATACCTGTCTAGTGCAAGTCGGTAGCATACACCATCGGGAAGGCCCCTTATCAACAAGAAGAAGGAGCTCTTAGTGAATGAAGACGTTATGTACGAAGGGGGAAGGGCGTGGACTCCTGGGAAAGGAACGTATACTCTGCAAGGGGGAGCATGAGGAAATGGGTGAAAGACGAGCATGGCAGGAATAGACGATAGAATGACAAGGAAAGAGATAACAGAGAATAAATCGCGAAACCAAAGAGTTTGTTAAGGAACGCATGTATCGATATATACGCAAGATCCTACCATTCGCGTAAAAGCCCCAAACGTCTTACCTAACACAGTAATCCTCGTTAACCCAACAAAAGTCCTGAATGTCGACCATCATTTGTGGTACACGGTCGGGCAGAACAGCCTCATGCGATCCCTGTAGAGGCGGAAGCAGCTTCTCGGATGCCCCGCCGGAACACTCAAATGAATCGTACGCAGCAATTCCATGTTCGTCTGGAGAATCTAGCTGCGGCGATGTCAACTCAAATCTGCCAGACGATTCAAGCCTGTCAGAAGGATCGTAGCCTACGGAGGTGGAGAAGCGCCCAGAGGAATCGAACCGGCCTGAAGAATTTAATCCTGAAGGTTCTAAGCCAGGCATTATCTGACGAGACTGGGCCAGAGGGAAGGTGGACATTTCCGAGGCTGCTGGTAGAACGTGAGAATCTTTCAATCCAGACTCTTCTAAAAGGGAATGCGAGGAGAAGCTGTCATCGGTTGACTGATGTGGATGGCAAGATGGCAAGACTTGCTGCTGTTGAAATTGGAGCTGATGCTGGTGTTGGTGCTGAAGCAGCCGCTGCTGAAGTTGCAACTGCTGCGACTGAACTAGAGGCTGATACGGCTGGTTCGTAGAGTGCATTAATTCCAACATCTGCTGCAGCGATTGCTGTTGCGGCTCCTGCTTAAGCTGCTGCTGTTGCTGAAAATGCATTAACGTTGGACCCTCGAAGACAGATCTCTCGTACAAGGAACTACAGCCGTCGCTGAAGAAGCGTGACGCTGGCCAGACATCGTCCATCACAAGCACCACCCGAGACAATAGGTGTCAATAATTATGTAGGAAAAAACGGTAATCCTGCACGACGCGTCCAAAAACACAAAGAAAAGAAAGAGGTTGACCAAATAACGACCACAGATTACGAAGAGGAATGAGAACACAGAGATAAAGAAAACCGCGACACTAGAAAAAAAAGCAACGACGTTCTTCAGATTTGAGGGAACAGTGATGCAGAAAGGAGAGACAAACTGATTTGAGGAAATCGGCGACCTAAAAAGGAGTGCCAAACGCGAAAGGTAAAAACACGGCATACCTCTAGGTCTATCAGGGATCCTGCTCCTTAATTTTAGCGACGCTCCGCCCAAATGCAAATGAGTGCAAATGAGTCAAGGCCAATCTCCTGAAATCTGCTAAGTTCAAACCCACCTCCGACACAAACAACTAAAGCAATAAACCTAGCACGAAGAACTGCGCCCTGATTCGTAAGTCGCGAAATACTGAGAAATAATCCGTTTCGGTAACATCACCAAGAAGAACCAAGCTAAACGATTCACATAAGCTGGACTATGAAGCAAGGTTCATGAGGAACTCCGTAGGTCTGCTGAAATCAAACTGGGGAAGTCATGTGGAGCGTTCCCTATGGCGGAAATGTTGCTGCTGGAATTGTTGATTGCAGCAATCTTGCTGCCTTCTGCCTTCGTGCCAACCCTTTCCAGCGTATCAGCTGGAAGTGGAGCGGTCCTCGCTCGAAACCTTACCCAAACGACCCAAACTGACACTGAACCGTACAAAAACCAGACATTACCGTACCCCGCCGTATTGAGGTGATGGAGCGAACAGCTCCTAGGGTTTTGTGCGTGATGTGGGATGGAGGGAACGAGGAAGCGGCTACAGTAAAACGAGAGATGGAGGAGGGTTTGGTGCAGTTCAGAGCCTGCCAAAACCACCCCACCACCTCGACTTTTGTCGAGGACTGGGCGGCAAGTCTGATGGAAGATTCGAGCCTCATCAAACCCTCAATGCCAAGTCGAGTTTTTGCCCACGTGGCTGACGAATCGCCAAGAACCTCGCAGTCGATTGGTTAATATCATCCTGACGGCTGTGCTTTTTCCTCGTGGTTGGCCCTCCGTTACCATCACTTTTCCAATGAAGGCCTGTTGTTGGTCGTTATGAGAGACAAAATGACGTTAACATTTCGTCAATAATCTGTAACATACTTCGTTAACGAGTTCAAACCATTCGCGGAATGAACCCACCAACCACATCCACTTCTCCGGCGCTGTACTAGATACATGTCATGCAGTTATCCTTACATTAACTAACCACTGCTTCACTGTACATTCTTGTGCGGGAGAAAATTTATCGTGTGACATAAGAAAACTAAGAAGTTGACACAATGTTCTACACTCTATGATAAAGTTGTCAAGCTTTTTCACACTGAATAATATCTACATTCAGTAAGAACGAACTAATGGAGAACCTACTATATATCTTAATTCAGAACCTAATCTTATACCCCGGCAAGCAACAGTGAAACACGCCTTGAGGACGCACCCCCTCCCTTGTTTCCTCCAAGCATTGTAGAAAGTAGACTCGAGGCGACGGATTAGAAGAGCTGTGCGGACGAGATTCTATTGGTTTCGCCGTAGCTGCATCTGACCGTCGACCTACTTCCAGCTGATCGACACGACACCGCTGTCTCTTTCACTCTCTCTCTCGGAGTTTCATCCCAGATTGTCCAGCCGATAGCCTGAATTCCGAGTATCGCTGCTTACGTTATTACTTACATTCTCACATTACTCCATGTCGGCAAATCCAGAGGAGAGGTATGAGGGCGATTCACCCTCCTCCTCGGAGGAGGAGATTATCGGAGGAGGCAGCGTGTGGGGCGTGGATCTGGGGGTCGAGGTGGAGGAGGCGCATCGCGCGGCGTGCGCTGCGGAGAATTCCACCTACACCGACCCCGAAACAGGTGAGCATTGTGTGTTCGTGTTTGAGGGTCGGTTTTTTTTTTTTAACATACGGAACCGACGGTCGACGTGGAGGAGGCGCGGCGGGGAATTCTGCTTCCGCCTACACCGACCCTGAAACTTGTGTCGGTGTAGGCGGAAGCATTGATCATTGCTGAGCATTGCTTTGTTTCGACGATGAGCATTGAGCACCCGTGCTTTACCGTACGTGGATTCGGGAGCGAAAGCGGAGCAGGCTCAACACACGCCTCGCCGAGCGGGGAATTCCGCCTACACCGAGCCTGAAACAGGTGAATCCGAGCCTGATTGCGTCGTTTCGTTACCAAGTTCGCATTTACTTCGTGGATCCGGGAGTAGATGGGGAGGAGAGGATGCAAGCAGAAGCGGATGATTCTCACCACACGCCTTGCCGAGAGGAGATTCCACCTACACTGACCCCGCAACAGGTGATCCTCGTCTCATTTTCCACGAAAGCTTCGTGTTTAAGACGTGGATCGCGGGGTCGACGCGGAGAAACCTCTTTCTGTGTCCCCACACATGTCCTGTGGAACCACACCTACTGATTGCTGGGTTTCCTGTGTACCGTTCCCCTGTGTCCCCCAACAGGCTACTCGGTCTTCACGGCGCCGGCTCTTCTCAAACCCGGCCGCTGCTGCGGCAATAAATGCAGGTGCGCGTGGATCTGATCTTGTCTAAATTCGTCTGATTTCGTCTGATTTCGTCTGATTTCGTCTGAAGTCGTCTGAAGTCGTCTGATTTTCTGTTTCAGCAAGCGAAGGTCCGATTGGATCTGGTGTGTAACTATGTGTGTCTAAGGAACCCCTTACCCCTCCCTTTCACCGCCCCAACAGGCACTGTCCCTTCGGTCACTATGCTGTGAGGACCAACGCCTTCATCTCCCTCTTTCATTCAATCCCATTTCCCCTCTTTATGTTCCCCTTCCATCTGTCGCTCGCCCTTTGCTCTCCCTTTGGCCTCCGCCCCCCACAGGCACTGTCCCTTTGGTCACTATGCTGTGCACCGCCCCCTTCATCCATCGCCCCCCGCCCCCCCCTTCCGTCCGTTTCTTTCCCCCCTTGCTTGCCACCAGGCACTGTCCCTTCGGTCACTATGCTGTGCGCACCAACGCCTTCATGTCACGAACCAACTCTCTCACTGTGAGTAACCATTCACGGTGGTTACCTGGTAGCTGCCATTTAATTTGCTCACTATGCTCGATGCATTCGCACACCCAACGATTCAGCTCCCTCACACCCTCACCCCACCCTCATACCCACGATTCAACCCACTCACTATGAGCCATTCCCTCACCTTTGTGCTGTGTTGCACCTGGTTACCAGGTTGCCTAATAACCGTGTTTTGAGACGTCTCAAAACACGCTGTGAGGATCAACGCCCTCACTACCCACGATTCAACTCGCTCACTATGAGCCATTCCCTCACCTTTGTGCTGTGTTGTACCTGGTTACCAGGTTACCCGAGAATACACAATAACTAGTAACCTTCGCTAACCTGATTCAGACGTGATGCTGTGAGTGAGGACCAATGGTGCCGTCTCTAACTTGCAAGGACGTCTCAACACTCCCAGTCTTGCACCATGCAACGGAACCATTTTCCTCGTGAGATGAGACGAGTGTTGAGGCATCCCATATTACCCTCTGCCACCCTTTATCACCCCTCTCCCCCACAGGAGCCCATGCTGCTGTCTCCCACCAAGGCCCCTGCTCCCTCCTTGCCTGCACTCGCTCACTTCACCTGCCACTCACTTACCTCTGAGTGCCGTTTGTTACCCTCTGCCACCATACACCATCCTCTCTCCCACAGGAGCCCATGCTGCTGTCTCCCACCAAGGCCCCTGCTCCCTCCTCGCCTGCACTCGCCCTGCTCTGGGACGGCAGCCTTCCCGCCCTGCTCGCCCTTCAGGTGAGCTCATGTCCGTGGTATGAAGTGCAGGTAATGTCACTTGCTGCCCTGCAGGTGATAGGTGTGACTCTCGCACTACTGTGTTTCGCCCTGCTCCCTCCTCGCCTGCACGCGCCCTTCTCTGGGATGGCAGTCTGCCCGCCCTGATCGCCCTGCAGGTAATGTCACTTCGGTGATTGCATTGGTGGCAGGTGCAGTTATCGCCCTACTGTGTTGTCTCACCTGCCATGAGGCTACTTGAGTCGCGCCCTGCTCTGGGACGGCAGCCTGCCACCCCTCCTCGCCCTGCAGGTAAAGTTACTTCAGTTATTGTCGCCTTGCACATGATAGGTGTGAATCTCGCACTACTGTGTTGGGCCCTGCTCACTCCTCGCCTGCACTAGCTCTTCTCTGGGCCGGCAGCCTGCCCGCCCTCCTCGCCTTTCAGGTGTGGATAGATGTCGTTATTCAGTTCAAGCAAAGCTTTGTTTCTTGACTCTTGGTCAGTTACTGGCAAGCTTGGTTAGTACTGCTCGCTCCTACTCCCACTGTCCTTTATATAATCATTCGCTTGTTGTCATTATGATTTGCGATTTGCTAAAAATTGCAGCTCATGGTCTCTCATGGTCCTCCCGCCCTCAGGCTCTCACGGACCAATCAAAATCTGCCACGTCAGCCGGCTCATCATCACCGAATGTTGTGCTGACGACTCTCTTTGACCCGCACTCGGGGCAAGTTCTGTCCCCCACTAGCATTCCTCATGCAGCCGCTGCAACGGCTGTGGCCGCTACAGCTGATGCAGCAGCTACAATTGCTGTATCAGCTACAACTGATGGAGCCGCTACAGCTGTCGTAGCTGCTAAAACCGATGTACCACCAGCAACCGCCTCTCGGGCAGCTGAAAGTCTCTGCTGCCTGCCCGTCTCGATCCGGGCAGTGATGGACCAATCGATGGCGCTGAAACGCCCGCTACTCGCAGTCCCTGTAGAGGGATGTGAGTCTCTCTGTAACGGGGATAGGAATGAGTTGGAGGGAAGCGAGAGACAGGAGAAGGGGCAAGAGAAACTACACGTAGTAAATGAGACTGGGGGTGGGAATGTGACGAAGTCGGGGTGTGGGTGTAAGGCAGGAGCAGGAGCAGAAACAGGAGAAGGAAGGGGAGAAGGAGGAGCAGAAGCAGCACGAGTAGGGTGTAAGGAGATGAGTGCAGGAGCAATCAGTGTGGATGGGTTCACCCCTAACTGGGCGTCTGTGCTACAGTCCGCCCTGCACTCCTCCCTCAAGTCTCAGGTGAGGTCTGAGTCCCCCTCTTTCAAGTCTCAGGTGGTCTGAGTCTGCTCTTGACTCCTCGCTCAAGTCTCGGGTGAGTTGTGAGTGCGCCCTTGAAAGACGAGTGGCTAAAGCACCGTGTTTGAGAATTCTTAAAAGCCTTGATCTTGTCAAGGCCCTAAGCCCCACTGCTTAATGCGTTGATGTTGTCAAGGCCTTAAGCCATTGTAACGAGGTGACCTTTGAGTCGACTCAAAAGTCACCTTCTTAAAAGCCTTGATGTTGTCAAGGCCTTAATCCCCACTGCCCCCTTCCCCCATCGCCCCTCTCCTCCTCCTCTCCCTTGCTCCCCTTGCAGGTGCATTCGGTCGTGTCTCCCCTCCCTCTCCCCTTATCAACTGCTGCTTCACCCTCTGCTACTGCCACTGCCGCTGCCGTCGGTGCTACTCCCGCTACTCCTGCTGCTGCCACTCCTGCTGCTGCCATGCCTCCTCCTCCTGCTGCTGCTGTCCCAGTGAAGGCAGTGTTTGAGCACCAGTCGCTCATCAGAGCAGCACCACTCGGCCTGACACCATCCCAGGTACAACCCCGTTTCTTGTTGTTGGCTAGAGCTAAGGCACTGAGTGCAGCAGCATCGGTCCCTGTGAAGCCAGTGTTTGAGCACCAGTCGCTCATCAGAATGGCACCACTCGCACGAGGCTCGACTTTCCTGCAACCATCCCAGGTACTTCTTCCTGGACCCCATCCCCCTGGCCTGCCTCTATTAACCCCATCCCCCTGCCTTTGCATCCCTTGCGTCTTCTCACCCGCACTTTCCTCTCAACCATATTCTCCTTCTCTCCTCTCTGCCCCAACCAGTTCCGAGTTCTCATACATGAAGCAGGCAAGTGGCAGGCACCTGATCCCTCCCTCCCATCTCTTCCTCCTCTCTACCCCACCCAGTTCCGAGTCCTCATGCACGAGGCAGGCACATGGCAGCATGTTACCACAGAGGAGGCGGTTACCCGGCTTGCTTCCTCTCCTTCTCCTCCATCGTCTCGCCCGTCATGGGCTGGAGCTGCTCCCGTTGCTCGCCTGCCATTGGTTCCCACTTTTGTGGAGATCCAAGCGCCTGCGCCTGCCAGCCGGTTCAGCAGGTGGATTGCCGCGATTCGATATGTGATGCATGCGGTGTATGTCATTGCATTTTCGTTACTCAGTGCTTTAATTTTTTTCCATTCTTGAGAAGGATGCATCCGTGTGCGAATGGATGTCCAATTCTGCCTTTCATCCTCTTTTTCCCCTTCCGTGTTAATTGGTGTTCAGGTTGAGATGATGCATGGTGACCATTAAGAAGATTCAGAATGCATAATCAGGATCGTTCTATGTATAGGGTTGCATACCTATTCTTCTTGCTTAGGTTGCACTATTCAAGGGTTGACAAATTAATGCAATAGTATGAGTGCTTCGTTTAGCTGTAAAGATGTGTACTGCAAGAGTGCAGTCCTGATAATGCTCTACTTATTTAGAGGTTCTCCTGGTTGCTGTTCCCCACCCCACTCGTCCCCCATCAACTGCAATTGGCGGTCGGTAACAACGAGCGGCATGCGGAGTTCCCAAGGTGCGCGGACCAATTGCGCGATCCCCGAATCTGCGGGACGGCGGACCCCCAAGGGGAAAATCCACGGGGTGGAACAGCACCGCGGACAAGCACCAAGTTCCAAATTGGGGGAATGCTGCTCTTACATGCAGCACCGACGCGTACTCGCACAAAACGTTCTGGAAACCAACGCAACCGGAACTTACCGCTTGGAGTCATCTGCGAGTTTTACTGTGGTGTGGCAATTCCTGCACACCCCCCTAGTCCCACTTCTTATTTCACTCCTAGTTATGACTTGCATAATTTGTTATTTTGTGCAATGGGGACTCCTTGATTTGAGCAGGAGCTTCTAGACTTTAGGCACCCAGGGCGTTGCGCAGTGGTAGGCAGTCGGATTTCCTCTGGTGTTGCGAGGCTATTTCTGGACGTCCCGGAAAATTCGCAATGGCGAGCAAGAAGCGGTCGTACGAGAAGCTGCCGTTCGGCGCTCCGCCGAGGCAGCCGGACGAGCCGTTCAACCCGTTCGTCAACCACAGCGCGCCGATTAACTCCTACGAGATCGTGAAGCTCACGCTGATGTTCCCCGTGTTCCTCGTTCGCGCGGTGTTCATGTTCGTCTGCTTTATTCTCGGATACGTCTTCGCGCGCCTCGCGCTGATTGGCGCGAAGCACATCCAGACAAAGTAATTTCTCCTCGCATTTTGCTGATTGGACGTATGATTGCTGACTGCTATCGTCTTGCTGATTAATGACGTCTCCGCTTATTACTTTTCCGTCGCCTATTACATTTTCTTCGCTTATATATATTTTTCGCGTATTACTTTCCATTCGCTTTATTGCTTATCCATTTGCATATAAGTACCGTTCCTGCAAAGTCAATTGTCAGTGTCCTGTTTGTCGTCTGTGGGGACTGGGTGGATGGGTGGAGGGGATGGGGTAAATCCTTGAGGCGCTTTTACGAATTGCGAATTGATGGGTGGAAAAGTCGATTTCCTCTCCACGCCAACAATGCGTGACTCGTGCTCTCCGCCTCTTGCTGTGACTTCTTCTTGGGGTTGCAAATTGCAATTGGGGAGGGAGTGAGCAAGTGAGTGAGTGGGATGAAGGGTAGGGTGCTCCATGCTCCATTCCTCCATGTATTACCCAGCGTCTCTCTTCGGCTGAGTGGGATGAGGATTATGTTAATTCGTCCCGATCCCAAGGGGCACTTGAGTCCACCCAACGGCTCAGTGGGATGAGAAATATCCTAATTATTCCCCATCGGCGGGCGAATAGACAAATTCTTCCCAATCCCAAGGAGAATTTGAGTCTACTCAACGGCTTTCCTCCCCTCTCTCCCTGTCGCCTCTGCAGGCCCTTCCCCAAGTGGCGGAGGAATCTCCTGTGGCCCACTAAGCTTCTGACACGTGGCGTTCTCTTCGCCTGCGGATACAACTGGATTGAGGTGAGAGAGTGTGAGTGTGCTTGGCGCGCTACAGCCGCTGCTGCTATCGCCACTGCTACAGCTGCATCAAGTTGAGTGAGTGTGCATGAGGCTTGGTGCGTGTCAAGGGCAGAGGCGCCCATTCTCGTGTGCAATCAGTTCATGCAACCACGTCACCTTTGTGGACCCGGGCTATCTGTTCATGCTCCACCTGCCGTGCCATGCTCCCCTTTCTCTATTCCCTATCACCACCCCACCCCCCCACCTCCACCCCCACCCCTGTGTGCAGGTGAAGGGCAGGGTTGCGTTCAGAGCAGAGGCGCCCATTATCGTGTGCAACCACGTGACGTTTGTAGACCCCGTTTACCTCCTCATGGCTCACCTGTCATACTCTCACTCTGTCTATCCCCTATCACCCACCCCAACCCCCCCATCCAACCCTCTACCCAGGTGAAGGGCAGGGTTGCGTCCAGAGCAGAGGCGCCCATTATCGTGTGCAACCACGTCACTTTTGTGGACCCCGTTTACCTCCTCATGCTCCCCCTGCTGTGCCATACTCCCCTTTGCTTATCCCCCACCCCATCCTCTACTTTGTGTGCGTGCAGGTGAAGGGCAGGGTCGCGTCAAGGGCAGAGGCGCCCATAATCGTGTGCAACCACGTGACGTTTGTGGACCCCATTTATCTCTTCATGGCTCACCTGCCGATGATCATTACTGCTAAGGAGAACATGAAGATCTTTGTAGCGGGGGCAATCATGCAGGCACTCCAGGTGTGTGTGTGTGGGTGGGAATGGGTGGGAATGGGTGGGAATGGGTGGGAATGGGTGGGGATGTCACCTTTGTGGACCCTGTTTACCTCTTCATGGCTCACCTGCCGATGATCATCACTGCTAAGGAGAACATGAAGATCTTTGTAGCGGGGGCAATCATGCAGGCACTCCAGGTGTGTGTGTGTGGGAATGGGAATGGGTGGAAATGGTGCGGTGGGTAGTGTCAATGGTACCGTAGGCGTCACAACTGGGTTAATGGTGGCGTGGACGTCTCAATAGGGGGGACAATAATGAACTTCTTTATAGCTGGGACTATGTTGAACGTCAATATAGCGGGGACAATTAAAAACGTCTATATAGTGGGGACAATGTTGAACGTCTCTATAGCGGGGACATTTATGAACGTCTTTATAGCGGGGACAATGTTGAACGTCTCTATAGCGGGGACATTTATGAACGTCTTTATAGCGGGGACAATGTTGAACGTCTCTATAGCGGGGACAATTATAAAAGCATTGTAGTGGGGACAATTGAACGTCTCTATAGCGGGGACAATTATGAACGTCTCTATAGGGGGGACAATGTTGAACGTCTCTATAGTGGGGAAAATTATGAATGTCTCTGTAGGCGGGACAGTTATGAACGTCTCTATAGCGGGGACAATTATGAACGTCTCTATAGGGAAGACAATTATGAACGTCTCTATAGCGGGGACAATTATCCACCTCCCCTTTCGCTCCTCCCCTCTTCCCCTTCACCCATCTCCCTCCCCTTTCCTCTGCCCTCCGACTCCCTCCAATCCCTCCCAGGCCATACCGGTCGATCGCGCCTCCCCCACCTCCCGAAAGGAGGCAGCATACGAGATCAAGAAGCGCGCCATGTGCAACGACTGGGCGCGAGTTCTCCTCTTCCCCGAAGCCACCACCACCAACGGCCGCTCCCTCGTCTCCTTCAAGACGGGCGCATTTGCCCCGGGCTGGTGACATACCCCTACCCTCCCTTTCTCTCACCTTCCCTCCCCTCCCTCTCCCCCCCCCCCTCCCCTCTTCTCTCCTCTCCTCCCCTCTCCTCCCCTCCCCTCCTCCCAGGCCATACCAGTCGACCGAGCGTCCCCGACCTCACGCAAGGACGCAGCATACGAGATCAAGAAGCGCGCCATGTGGAACGACTGTTACTGGGCGTTCCTCACAACTCCTTCCTCCGCCCTCCTACTCCCTCCCCTCCCTCCCAGGCCATACCAGTCGACCGAGCGTCCCCCACATCGCGCAAGGACGCAGCATACGAGATCAAGAAGCGCGCCATGTGCAACGACTGGGCGCGAGTTCTCCTCTTCCCCGAAGCCACCACCACCAACGGCCGCTCCCTCGTCTCCTTCAAGACGGGCGCCTTTGCCCCGGGCCTGCCGGTGCAGCCGGTGGTGGTGACATACCCCTACACGTCCTTTGACCCCTGCTGGGTGGCTGAAGGACTTCCGGATATGACCCTGCTGTGGCGCCTCATGTCGCAGCCACACAACCGCATGCGCGTGAGTCTAAGTGACCGCCACGCATGTAGGGTTTTACGCTCGCACTGATATGGCCCTGCTGTGGCGCCTCATGTCCCAGCCGCACAACCGCATGCGCGTGAGTGGTTGAATGGGGGAGTGACGGAACGTGGGGGTGAGGGAGGGAGTGAGGGAGTGCACTCCGGCTCAACCTGGCCCTCACAGACCACTCCTCTGGCAACGTGCTGCTGGCGCTCGAGGCTCAGAATCTGAGGCAAGGAAGCTGCAGCTTCCAGGCAGGGAAACTTACCCCCCTGCTGCTTCCTCCCTCCCAACCCCCATTCACAGGTGGAGTACCGTCCAGTAATCATCCCCACAGATGAGGAAAAGAGGGATGCACGCAAGTTCGCCGAGGGGGTGCGTCTGGCCATGGCTCGCCGTCTCAACCTGGCCCTCACAGACCACTCCTTTGGCAACGTGCTGCTGGCGCTCGAGGCAAAGAAGCTCAAGCTGCCATCCCCTCCCCCCTGCCTTGTTTTTCCTCTCTCCCTCTCCCCGCTCCCCCTCCCCCTCCCCCTGTTACCCGCGCACACGCGCCTAAACAACAGGTGGAGTATCTGCCTGTGATTGTCCCAACGGACGAGGAGAAGAGGGATGCACACAAGTTCGCCGAGAGGGTCCGTCTGGCCATGGCACGGCGCCTCAACCTGGCCCTCACAGGCCACTCCTTTGGCAACGTGCTGCTGGCGCTCTCAATCTGAAACCCAGAGTCTGCTGCTGGAGGCAGGGAAACTTATACCCGCCTGCTTCCCCCCAACCCACACGCACACAGGTGGAGTATCTACCCGTGATCGTGCCCACAGACGAAGAGAAGAGAGACGCAAAGAAGTTCGCGGAGAGGGTCCGCCTGGCCATGGCGCGGCGCCTCAACCTGGCCCTCACAGGCCACTCCTTTGGCAACGTGCTGCTGGCGCTCGAGGCAAAGAAGCTCAAGCTGCCCGTGGGGACGGCAAACGTGGAGTTTGGGCGGCTGGAGCAGCTGTTCCGAGTGGACGTGAGGGAGGCCAAGCAGTACCTGAGGCGATTCCATACCATGGATGTGGGACACTGGTGAGCATCCTCTCTTTTCCTCGCTCTCTGCCTCTCACTCCCTCACTCACTCACTCACTCACTCACTCACTCACTCACTCATTCACTCACTCTCTCTCAAACTCTTTGGAAGGAGGGGTAAGAAGGGAACCCCGCTCGAGGCAAAGAAGCTCAAGCTGCCCGTGGGGACGGCAAACGTGGAGTTTGGGCGGCTGGAGCAGCTGTTCCGAGTGGACGTGAGGGAGGCCAAGCAGTACCTGAGGCGATTTCACACCATGGACGTGGGGCACTGGTGAGCGGGCTGTCTCTTTCTTGCACCCGCACACGCATTCTCTCTCACTCACCCACTAACTCACTCACTCACGCACTCTCTCTCGCTGTTCGGAAGGAGGGGGTAGAAATTATGTGGGGTGGAGTTTGGGCGGCTGGAGCAGCTGTTCTGGGTGGATGTGAGGGAGCCGAAGCAGTACCTGCCTCATTCTCCCTCACCCACGCATGCATTCGCTCACTCTCTCATACCCAATTCTCCTCTTGTCTCGCCTCCCCCCACCTTTCCCTGCCAGTGGCGCCGTGAGCTACCCCGGGTTCCTCTCAATGCTGGCTCTGCTCTCAGCATTCTTCACCACAACTCTCACCCACCCTCCTCGCCCCACCTCCCCAGTTGTCCCTTGACCAGTGGCACTGTGAGCTACCCTGGGTTCCTGGCAGCGCTGGTTCTGCTCGACTCAGAGGCCTCTCAGATGCCCTTTGACTTTCTCACCATCCTTCTCACCCTCTCCTCCCCCCATGCCTCCTCTCTTCCCCTCCACCCCCCCAGTGGCACTGTGAGCTACCCTGGGTTCCTGGCAGCGCTGGGTCTGCCCGACTCAGAGGCCTCTCAGATGCTCTTTGACTTTCTCGACACCAATGAGCGCGGCACGATCAACTTCAGAGAGGTGGGTGCAGTGCGGTGCAGTCAGTAGTAGTGCGTGTCAGAAATAGGCTTGGAACTGATACATTAGTAGTGAGCTCAAAGCTCTTTAAGTACATCAGGAATGAGCAAGGTATGGATGAGGAGGGAATCAGGGGGCAATCCTAGGGAATCAAGGGTAATCCCAAGGCAATCTCCAATTGGTGGGTTGGAGATTGGTTGGAGATTACATTTGGGTTTGGTTGGGATGTGGGTGTACACCCAACCAAACACAAAGTGCAAACTACACTAACCTAGGATATAACTGTACAAGAACAAAATGTGAGATTGAGGGCTAACACCAACAGTGCGGTGCAGCATGGTACAGTGAGGTGCAGTGCAGTAGCATCGGGTGTACAGAGGTTTCTCGCAGCGCTGGGTCTGCTCGACTCAGAGGCCTCTCAGATGCTCTTTGACTTTCTGGATACCTACGAACGTGGCACCATTAATTTCAGAGAGGTGGGTGCAGTGCGGCGCAGCGCGGTATAGTGACGTGTAGTGAGGTGCAGTGAACTGCAGCATGGTCCAGGAGCGTGGTGGGCCCCCATAGCCCTCTCACATGGAGGTGGGGGTGCGTCCCCGAGGCCTCCTGGACACCCATGAAGCCAGCACTGACAGCTGGAGGAATTCGGGTAGTGTGCAATGAGGTGCAGTGAGGTGCAGTGCAGTGAACCGGAAACACTGGTCTTTGTATCCCCCCACCTTCTTATTACAGCTCGTTGGATTGAGTTTCTTTTCTTGTCCCCCCGTGTTCTCACCACTCCTTCCTCCTCCCCCCCTCCTTCCCCTTCCGCTCTGTGCTTCCTGTCTCTCCCCCGTATGCAGTTCCTGGCAGGGCTGGTCTTTGTGTCCCGCCATCCTCAGTTTCATGATTCTGTGGAGAAGGCATTTAAGCGGTTGGATCTGGATGGGGATGGACGGCTGACAGCGCAGGAGGCAAAGGAGGGCATGCGGGAGCTGTTCCCTACTATCACAGACGACCAGGTGAGTTGGTCTGGTGCGATGCAGTGAAGTGCGGTTCTGGGCGGTGCAGTGCGGTTCTGGGCGGTGCAGTGCGTTGTTGTGCGGTGCTGTGTAGTTGGATCTGGATGGAGATGGACGGCTGACAGCGCAGGAGGCAAAGGAGGGCATGAGGGAGCTGTCCCCAGCGATTACAGACGACCAGGTGAGTTGGTCCGGTGCGATGCGGTGTTGTGTGATGGAGTGGGGTGCAGTGTGCTGCTGTGTGGTCCAGTGCGGTTTAAGTTGAAAGGGCGACAGCACAGGAGGGCAAGGAGGGCTTGCGGGAGCTGTTCCCAGCGATCACAGACGACCAGGTGGGTGTGTCTGGTGCAATGCGGTGAAGTGCGGTTCTGGGCAGTGCAGTGCGGTGCTGAATAGTTGGATCTGAACCGGGATGGACGCCTGACAGCGCACAGGGCCAAGGAGGGCATGCGGGAGCTGTTCCCTGCCATCACAGACGACCAGGTGTGTGGGTCTGGTGCAATGCGGTGAAGTGCGTTTCTGGGGGGTGCAGTGTGGTGTTGTGCAGTGCTGTGTTGTTGGATCTGGATGGAGATGGACGGCTGACAGCACAGGAGGGCAAGGAGGGCCATGCGGGAGCTGTTCCCAGCCATCACGGATGAGCAGGTGGGTGTTGGTCTGGTGCGATGCGGTGTTGAGTGATTCAGTGCGGTGCAATGTGCTGTTGTGTGGTCCAGTGCAGTGTTGTGCAATGTGTTCTTTTTTAGTTGAATGGCTGACAGCGCACGGGGCCAAGTTAGGGCATGAGGAAGCTGTTCCCTGCCGTCACAGGCGACCAGGTGAGCGTGGGTGGGTTGGCCTGGTACAGTGTGGTGCAGTGCGGTGCTGAATGATACGATGCAGTGCAGTGCAGTGTGGTCTGCTCTTGTCTGGTGCTCATCCCCCTTCTGTTGTGCATCCCCTCTTTCCCCTCTGTTCATCCTCTCGGTGTGTCTGCAGCTGGCTAAGCTGTGCGACGTGCTAGGACTCAACGGCAAGGCACCTCTGTCACGTGGGATGAACTCTCAACTCTCTCACTCAACATCCCTTCCCCAACTCCCCCCTCCTCCTCCCCCCCCCCCCCTCTAAACCCCTCTCTCTTCCATGAATTTCTCTACTGTTCCTCATTCCCATTTGTCGCTCCCACGTGCCGTGTGCACTTGCAGCTGGCTAAGCTGAACGAGCTGCTGGGGCTCAACAGCAAGACCTCGCTCGCCTGGGATGAACTCTTCTCTTTCCCTCACCCTCCCCCCTCTCCCTCCAATTCTCTACTGCTCCCCACTCTTGATGGTTGCTCTCACCTCCCGTGCCGCTGCAGCTGGCTAAGCTGAACGAACTGCTGGGGCTGAACAGCAAGACCTCGCTCACCTGGGATGAATTTGAGCATTTCCTCAAGACCCACCCCGAGTATCTTGTGGCAATTCTGGCCGCCGATTTGGCTGATGTCAAGGAGGAAAGCGAGAGCAGTGAGGTAACGTCGGATGAGGCAAAGATCTAGGTGGTGCGTGCGTGTGTGAGGCTGGTGCTTTCAGTTGTACGTTTAAAGTGGTGTTACATGGTTGTTGGTGTGTCATTTTGGCAGACTTGTCTCTGCGTGATTTGTGTGCTGGTGAGATATGGAGGAGATTGAATGGAGTGTGAGAGAGAAGATAAGAGGTTGCTTTAGTGCATTTACATCACAAAGTGTAGCTAGATTCCACGTCCTGGTGCAACGCATGACAGGTGGGTGTGGTGTGGTTGCCCTCACCACTAGGTTTCTTGCAGGAAAACAAGCACTTCCGGCTGTGTAACAAGCACGTTGGAAGGATGAAGCGTCAAAACATTCCTCTCCAGTCGACAGCACCACTCCCAACCATTTTTATTCCGATATAGGCCTTTTCTGGGTGATAGGCCCAGAGGAGCCAGAAACGGCCTGATTCTGGGCGTTTGGCAAAACACGGAGATGCGAGGATGGGGCCAACATCACAGGCATGCAAAACAGTCTGGTAACCCTATTCGATTGTATGCAAAACCGTCGATACCCCAGTTCCACTGCGCAAATCTGTCTGGTACCGCCACTCAAAACACTGTGTGACAGCTGATGCAGCACAAAAAGGAAGCAATAGGTGCAACATTCGAAAACGTTTTCAATTTCGTTTCAATCTATTCTTACCGCGCTTTGTTTGGCACCTAACAACGATTCCTGTGGACAACTATTTTCCGTTGAATGTGCACGATAATTCCGACAGAAATAATCGTTGGAATGAGAGTAATATTTATATTGCTGCCGGAAACTGTTAGGGCATGCATGAAAAAAATAAAACCCCTAGGGACCTGGACTCATTTCAGGGAGGGATCAACCCTAAACACGGGAAAGGACATTGTTTTTAGGGTTGATGCCTCCCGAGTCGCATCCCTTTCCGATTGGGTTTTATTTTTCCTGCAGGTGTAGCTACCAGTGTTGCTCAAATGGCAGAACAATCGCCCGAATAAATCGAATTTGAAAGGAAACAAACGCGTGGTAAAAATCAGTTATTGAAATCAACAGAACCGCGATTCTAGCGCAAAATGTCAGTACCTCCAAAACCGCGGTATCGACGGTTTTGCATACAATCGAATAGGGTTACCAGACTGTTTTGCATGCCTGTGATGTTGGCCCTGCGAGGATGGGATGGCAGGTTGAAAACCAATCAAACATTCTAGACATGGCTTTCTCGTGGCGGTGTCAACTCCTGGGAAGAACTTCGCCACAGATCTCGTGTTTGTGTGTGCGCCCCCACAACCCAGCTTCTCACCTGACCTGAGAGTTTCAGGTGCCGTTCATCAGTTTCGTTGACCGTCTATGTTACCGCCGACAGCCAATCACACAGTGCGCCACAAATCTGCGGTTCCCACCTCGCATCGTCTCCCACTCGCCCACCCTCACCTAACTCGATGACACGCATCACACGCTGTCTTGAATCTGACACCGTACGATAGACCACGTAGGCAATCTTAACCGTTAGATCGACGCCACACGGCATTTTGATCTTCGGAACAAGTTTGACAGATGCTTGTTGGGCCACCTACCTCACTGAAGCTCCTGCTGCGGCAATCTCAGGGGATGGGTGAAACCAGGCACATTTCAGGATTACAAAAAGCACATATCAGATTCCCAGAACTCAGTTTCAGCAATTAGTAGTCGCAATTGCTAGTGCAATTGCTTTACCATTTCCAAGCCTTCGCCTTCCAGCCCCAATTTACCTGTCTCGCCTTCAGCTTTCTCGTCCTGCCATCACCAACTACTGTCGTGCAAAGGTAGGTCCTTATCCACTTCCATTGTCAAGAATGTGTTCCCGGGCTATGTTTTCCGCTGTAAAGGCCAAACCTTTAAGTCGTTCAATGTCAGGGTCATGTTCGCTAATGTGTACCCTGTATCTGTAACTGCTGTACTCGTTTTCAACAGGTCAAGATGGTGATGGATAAGAACGCCAAGATCTACGTGGCTGGTCACACCGGTCTGGTGGGATCAGCCATCTGCAGGAAGCTTAAGAAGGAGGGATACAACAATATCGTCGGAAAGACCATCGAGGAGCTTGATCTGACACGGCAAGCGCTCGTCGAGGAGTACATGAACCAGGAGAAGCCTGACTACGTGATCGTCGCTGCCGCGAAAGTCGGCGGAATTCACGCGAACAGCGTCTATCCCGCTGATTTCATCGGAATCAATCTTCAAATCCAGACCAACCTCATCGACGCTGCTTACAGGGCCGGGGTGAAGAAGCTTGTCTTCCTCGGATCGTCTTGCATCTACCCGAAGCTCGCTCCCCAGCCTATCACTGAGGATGCTCTGCTTACCGGACCTCTGGAGCCCACGAACGAGTGGTATGCCGTCGCCAAGATCGCCGGTATCAAGATGTGCCAAGCCTACAGAATCCAGGTAAATCCCGAAACAAACAAATCACTTTTCTAATAGTCTTCCTTACCTTGGCACGTATGTTTGTTTTGGCTTGTTCTGTGTTTTGTCCTTGTTTTCCTTGTGCAATTTCCTTACCTTGGCTTGTCCTGTGTTCTCTCCTTGTTTTCCTTCGCAATACCATTTTGTTTCTGCTTCTTCCTCCATTGTTACTTGTGCCTTCCTGCAGTACAACTTCGATGCCATCTCAGCGATGCCGACCAACATGTACGGCCCGTACGACAACTTCCACCCGACCAACTCCCACGTGCTGCCAGCTCTGATCCGACGGTTCCACGAGGCCAAGAAGACCGGAGCCAAGGAGGTGGTTTGCTGGGGTACCGGCACTGCTCTGCGCGAATTCATGCACACCGATGATCTCGCAGGTAAGAGATAGATTCCACTCGGGTTTACAGTAACCACACTACGTTCACACAGCGTAAGTGTTATTACGTACGAACTGGTTTTACCACGTTAATCACGGAATACCCGCGCGTAGGAGGATTCTAGGTTGTGTAGGTATTTGTTGATTTCCGCATGCATTGCTTCCGATTCTCAATCAGTCGCTATAAACACACGCAGGAAACCTCAACCCATTCCCGATTTCTTCCCTCACCTCTGACAAACGTTAATTGTTAGATTCTTCTGCACAATTAACGTTCGTCTGCGATTGTGATAAACACCCGTCGTGAATCCTTGACCTGTCGCCAATCGTTTTCCCTGATCCACCAATTTTGTCTGGATTACGCTCCCTCCAGATGCGCTCCTCTTCCTGCTCAACAACTACAGCGACATTCCCCACCTGAACGTGGGAACCGGCATTGAGCTCACAATCAAGGAGCTGGCAGAGACGGTCAAGGAGGTGGTGGGCTTCGAGGGCGAGATCACGTGGGACACGACCAAGCCCGATGGCACGCCCAGGAAGCTCATGGACAGCTCGAAGCTGCACGCGCTCGGGTGGAAGCCCAAGGTGGGGCTCAAGGAGGGCCTCACGGAGGTGTACAAGTGGTACCAGGAGAACTACAATGTCTAAGCCATGTCTTAGGCTTGTCTGTGCAGTGTAATGGGGGACCTTGTAATTTTTGGGGTACACATTTTTATTTGGGTTTACACATTTCTTGTTGATATGGTTCTGGCTGCTGGATTTGCTTATGGCAATGTCCAAGCAGGCTGGCTAACCAACAGGTACACTTCTTTGGCCAGGCAGAATCTACCTGGAGAAACCCAGATTATTCACCCAGATGTTCAATCTTGGTGTGTGTGTGCGCTCCACCCACATCACATGGGTACCTTGTGCATGGAAGGAATCCAAATTGACCATGTTGGATTGGAACATGCCAAGCCATCCCAACCCTGCTATAGAAACGTAGCAACCCAACAGTTTTCAGCCTTGAAGTGCCTTGTTCATACAGTACTACCTTAACTGCGACTTACAGAACACCAAAATGGTGGGGTACAAAGCTGGTATGGTACATGTAAAGGTGCACCTCGCACATACTCCCTACCCGTGCAATCATATCGGGGTGGAATCATTGCTCCCTGCCACCGACTTCTCCGTCATCCCAAAATCTACTTTTGAGGCACCTTCAAAGTAGATTCCTGTGCAATCATATTGGGGTGGTATCATTGCTCTCTGCCACCGACTTTTCTCGTCGCCATCCCAAAATCCTCCCTGCACTGTCCTCCTCTTCACACCTGCTGCTATCCGTATCCCACTCCACAGACCTATTAACACCACCATCAGCATCCCCTGCAGTAGGGCTACAACTGTCACCACCACCACCCTCCTCCTCACATGCTCGTGGCGGCATGAAGTCAAAACCACCTCCCTCGCACTCCAATTCTTGCTCCTCCTCATCCTGTTCCCCAGTACCTAACATGGATGCTTGCTTCTTCTCTTTCCCTCCATTCCCTTCAGTGGATGCACCAGCAGCAGACTCAAAACTGTCCGCCAAACCAGCAGCCGAGCCAACACCCGGACCAGCAGCCGAACCAGCAGCCGGACGAGCAGCCGAGCCAGCAGCAGGAGCAGCAACAGCAGCACCACCAGACACCGCATTCGTAGTAAGGGAGACTTCGGTGGGAAGACTAGCGGGTACCGGGTACTTTGTTGCTCCTGCCACTGCTGCCACTGCTGGTCCAGCTCCTGCTGCCACTGATGCTGTTGCTCCCCCTGGCATTGCTGCTGACACTGCCGGTGCCGCCTCTCCTGCTACCGCCCCTGTCGCTGCTGCCACTGCCCCTGCTGCACCAGTAGCAGGAGGAGTCTCCAGGTGGTCAAAGAATGACAGCCACCCCGGAGATCCCGAGGTGCCTCGGCCCTTCCTGTCGCCCACCACCCTCGTCATGCGCGCATGCTGGTCTGCAGGGAGGGAAAGGGGGAGAGGGAGGAGAGAACACAGTCACAAAGAGAGCTGTGAGTCGGCTCGAGAGTTGCTCTGCTTGCTCACCCACTCATGCTCGGGTTGCGCAGCCTTTCAAACTGCTCCCCTGCTCCTCAAATGGCCCCCATCCCCCTTCATTCACCCACTCATGCCCGGGTTGAGCAGCCCTTTAAGCCGTCGCACGGTCCAGCGGAACTAGCGCATGAGGAACACACGCGTGGTCAGCCCGTGCAAGGAGGGGGGAGGAGGGAGGAGGGAAGAAAGGAGGCGGAAAACCCGGCTCACCTGCAATCATCTCAGGTGTCAACCCCCATGAGAACAGCTCGTATTCCGAATGCCGCACTGCAAGGCTGTACTTCCCACCTTCCCCCATCTCCATCACCCGTATCTCGCAGTTCCCCGGATTTAACAGCCCCTCAAACTGCCGCACGGTCCACCTAAACCAGCGCATGAGGAACACACGCGTGGTGAGCCCGTGCGTCACCATCACTATGTTGAGCGCTTTCCGCCGCGGGGGAGGGGGGGTTGGGCCAGGGGCAGTGGGAGTGGGAGCGGGAGCAGGAGCAGGAGCAGGAGGAGGAGGAGGAGGAGGAGCAGCAGCAGCAGCAGCAGCAAGCCTGTTTGTCTGCACCCGTTTTTGCTTCTGCATGCGCATGTGCCAAATCTACCCGCCCATCTCCGATCCTCTCCTCTTGCTCCTGCTCTCCTCCTCTCGCCCCGTCTCCCCTCCTTTCGCCTCCCTTCTCTTGACCGCCTCCCAACACAGCAGAACCAGCAACATCAGTGGTACCAGCGGCACTAGCGGCACCAGCAGCAGAACAATCAGCAGCACCACCAGCGGCACTACGAGCAGCAGCAGCAGTGGCGGCAGAAGCAGCCTGAGGGTGGGCTGACGGAGTGGGAGGAGGAGGCGGAGGAGGAGGAGGGGGGTGCAATCGACACCAGTCTATGTCTCGCCACAAGCTGTCAAGGAAACCTGGGAGTACGGGGGGAGAAGAGAAGCGGAACAGAGAGAGTGGGTGGGGTGGGCTGACGGAGTGGGAGCAGGAGGAGGAGGAGGGGGGTGCAATCGGCACCAGTCTATGTCCCGCCACAAGCTGTCAAGGAAACCTGGGAGAACGGAAGCGGGGGAGCGAAAGGGAGGGATTGGGGTGGATAAGGAAACAAGCAGTTGACAGCCTGGTTGACGGCACAGTGGGGGAGGAGGCGGCGGAGGAGGAGGAAGGTGCAATCAGCACCAGTCTATGTCCCGCCACAAGCTGTCCAGGAAACCTGTGAGGGTTGGAGGTGGAGTGGGGTGGGGTGGGGTGGGGTTGGGTGGGGTGGGGTGGGGTGGGGTGGATCCTCATTCCTGCATTTGTGAGAGACTGTGCAACCGGCACCAATCTATGTCCCGCCACAAGCTGTCCAGGAAACCTGGGAGAACGGGGGGAAAGCAGGAAAGGGGAAAAGAGAGAGTGGTTGGGGCGGGCTGACGGAGTGGGAGGAGGAGGAGGCGGAGGAGGAGGGGGGTGCAACCGACACCAGTCTATGTCCCGCCACAAGCTGTCAAGAAAACCTGAAATAAAGATGAGGGGAGAGGACGGGAAGAGGGAAAAAAGGGGCAGAATTGAACCTCCTTTGCACTGTATAGACTGAAAGCAAGATAAAGTCACATCTAATATTTCTCAATAGCAATTAGCGTGGTGTGGTGTGGTGTGGTGTGGTGTGGTGTGGTGTGGTGTGGTGTGGTGTGGTGTGGTGTGCAACCCACCAGTCACGCGGTCGTACACGTCAGCAGACGACTCCCCCTCAGAGCATCGTGCTTTGAGACGTGTGGAGTGATGTATAGTGGTGTGGTGGGGCAAGGTGAGGTGCGATGCGGTGCAGTGCGGTGCAACCCACCAGTCACGCGGTCGTACACGTCAGCAGACGACTCCCCTTCAGGGAATCGGTAGAAGAACCGTCCAAACCGCTGCCTCATGTCCTTGATCTGCCTCATGCGCTCCTGCACCTGGTGCAGAGCGGTGGAGAGTGGTGGGGAGTGGTGGAGAGTGATGGAGAGCGGTTGGGATTGATAGTGAGCGGTTTGTTGCAGTGGGGTTAGGTGTGGTGGTGACTCCCCTTCAGGGAATCGGTAGAAGAAAGCTCAAATCGCTGCCTCATGTCCTTGATCTGCCTCATGCGCTCCTGCACCTGGTGCAGTGCGGTGGAGAGTGGTGAAGAGTGGTGGAGAGTGGTGGAGTGTGGTTGGGAGCGGTTTGTTGCGGTGGGGTTAGATGTGGTGGTGACCCCCCCCTCAGGAAATTGGTAAAGAACCGTCCAAACCACTGCCTCATGTCCTTGATCTGCCACACGCGCTCCAGCACCTGGTGCAGTGCGGTGGGGTAGGGTGAGGTAAGATGAGGTTGGGTGCAATGGGGTGTGGCGTGGTGATGTGCACGAGGGGCACTGATGTGCCTGTGCTGCCTCATGTCCTTGATCTGCCGCATGCACTCCTGCACCTGGTGCAGTGCGGTGGGGTAGGGTGAGGTAAGATGAGGTTTGGTGCGATGGGGTGTGGTGTGGTGATGTGCACGAGGGGCAATGATGTGCCTGCGCTGCCCCATGTCCTTGATTTGCCTCCTACGCTCCTGCACCTTCACCTGGAGGGGGGTGGTGAGTGGTGGGGTATGGTTTGCCCCTGGCATGCTCAAGCTGCCTCATGCGCTCCTGCACCTGGAATGGTGCGGAATGGTGGGGAGTGGTCACGAGTGGTGGGGAGGGAAACGGTGTGGTGGGGTGTGGTGCAGAGGTTTGAACCAGATGTATATTCCTGACCTCGTGTTATTGCGCTGCCTCATGTTTTATATTCCAGCTTCTGCTCCTAGGCCTGCTGGTGGTGGGATGAGGTGCGGTGGGGTGGGATGAGATGAGGTGGGGTGGAATGGGATGAGATGGGGTGGGATGAGGCATGGTGTGGGTGATGGGGCATGAAAGAGTGCATCCGTAAATTCCTCGCCCAAGAACCCAAAAACCCCGAATTCCTCACCCTCTTACCAAGAAACTACCTCACCCTTTCTTACCAGGAACTTTCCTAAAACCTCTTTCGCCTGGAAGTTTCCCAACAAGCTCTTACCTGGAAGTTTCCAAAGTCCTGCTCCCTCAACCTAGGCTCCTCCCTGACCCCTAGAATGTGCTGCCTCTCAAACGCCCGCCCTATGCCGCGCAGGGTCTGCAGCGGGAGGTGAGAGGGGTTCAGGGTTTAGGGTGTATGGATGAGAGGGTGCTGAGAGCCCAAAGCAGTGGGGGCTCCTCCCTGACCCCTAGAATGTGCTGCCTATCAAACGCCCGCCCTATGCCGCACAGAGTCTGCTCCAGAAATAGGGGAGAGAGGGGTTTCGGAGTTTAGTTTTCACAATCAGAGTTGAAGGTTTCAGGGCAGAGAGGCAAGGGCAGCCCAGACTCCTCCCCCTAACCTCCCAAAATGTGCCGCCTCTTGATCTCACGGCCAATGCCACGCAGGGCCTACCGAGGAAAGGGAGGTCCAGGGTTCCGGGTTTAGCAATCAGGGTTTGGGGTTTTAAGGCTCTCGGATTCACTGATGGAACGGGAATTGGACAGGCAATAACACATTCGTCGGCTTCGAAAGCTGCCCCGGTTCCTCATCATTCCCCACCAATCCTCGCCA